GACAAGCCTTGTTCCCCTCTCTGTGAAATGTGTCATAGTATTAAAGGCCTGAGTTACTGCTCAGCACTTAGCAGCTGTTGGCTTTCCCAGATAGCATTAATACAAGATTAGACATAGAGATATTTCAAGAGTGAGACATGTTTAATTCAGTTGCAGGTCTGTGAGATTTCTTTCAAAGATATTTATTCACCCGGAGCTCACATCTGCAAGACTTTAAAAGAAGAATTTAGACATATACAAAGGACAGTAGTAGCTTGAATCATTTGCACACAAAATTACACCCCCTGACATGAAAAGGTTTGCACTTTCTGACTCCCCGTACAGGAAGTCTAATCTGCTGTCACCAACACATACAAGCTTTGTCTGTTTGAAAAGTTGGTTGCCTGTTTCTATGTTTCTATGACACACTGAAACAGCTGTGTCTCATTCCAATGTGTTCCAATGCTTTTCCTTAAAATGACATCAAGTACTATTTACAAAAAAAGGCAGCTTAAAAAAATAAAGCTTAAAATAACTTTAAAAAGTCAAGGACACTTTTTTTTTCCTTTCTTTCTTTTTTTTTTTTTTTCTGTTTTGGGATATCTACCTTGATCTGCTGCTTCTAAGTCTAATGCTCAGGAAGACATTAACCAGTCAAAAATAGATGTATTCTTCATAAGCTGCCATATAAATGACATAGTTGTGAATTTATTCATCTTAGTTTCTCCCTTCTTTTGGTCCAGTTTTGCAGTTTATTCCTATAATATCTATGTTTACTTCGGTAGGTATTAATTTTATCAAATTCAACTTTCCTCGTAATATGCCTGAGAACAACAATTCATTAAGTGAAGTTTGCATACCTCCTTACCCTGACAGCATCTTTTCTAACTACTTAAAAATCAGCATTAAGATGCAAAAGTGAGAGGATGAATTTGATGACAAAAGGGATTTCCATCTAATTTCCATGGCACCACATTTTATAGATAGTATTATGTTCAATGCATTAAGAATGCATTATAAAAAACTTAGCTGCTCTCTTCTGGGAACATGGTAGGAAAACACTGAATATAGTTCCAGTAAAACAAGAAATATTTGTTTTTCGTATCATGAGGTTTCCTGTAGGAATGATCAAGAAAATGTCAAGCTAAATTTTAAGCCGATGTTTCAATCTGACAGTTTGTGATCCCAGATGTGGTTAAATAAATAGTTATTTTTATTAAGAACATAGTTACTTTTAACCTATTGGAATATAACCCCTTTATGTACTGGGGACCAAGCTGCTATGTTAATCACTGAATAATGACAGTTTGTTTTAAGAAATATAAACAAAGAAGAAATGTATCTTTTTATTCTGAAAAAGATGTTTAAATGTAAATAAAATTAATAAATATTTAAATTCATTTGCTTAATTAAACATTGCATAATAGTCCAAATGCAAAAGTAAAAGGAGGGAAGTATACATTAACATCCTTGGTTTTGGTATTTCCCAACTCTTACCTGCTTAGCTGCTTAAACTGAGCATTAGTTTAACTCTTGTTTTTTGTTTAAAAGATAAATAAAATCAGCTGGTAAAGAAATATACCTAAATCTGTCTCTCCAGGAGTGACTGAGAGGTACAAAGATATTTTTAAAAGGAGCAAGCCAAGTTCTTCAGCTCTTGCAGGAGCAGCTGTGGAATAATCCCAGGATACTGGCAATGGACTGCCCATATGAATTATGTCAACTAAGGTGAATTATCAAATCCTTCCCAGTTAGACTGACAATGTCATGGTTTGAACAGATTGTTCTCTGAGAAAGAATGTAATTTACTCAAAATTACATAGGTGAGGAGATAGCTGAAGTCCTGTTGTGCATTTCTCTGCGGTGGTGGATGGCTGTTTTTGCAGTTAATCCAGGGGGATTTTAAACTAGTTTGGGCATCTTTGGGCTTCCCAGTAGCTGAGGTGGGACAATATTCATGGTAGGCTACAAGCTCATCGAGGAACGCATCCAGCTTCTTCTGCGCTCTGAATGTTTCCCCAACACAGTGATGCTGCTTTCACCACCTGAGATAGCAAAGGTCAAGCCCAGCGCAGACATATCTATACAGTATGACTTCCAGAGAAGGAATGTTACTTCCCTGGCACATCTAACCCTAAAGGCATGAAGTCGATTAAATTTCTGCTTTTATTTCCATACAAGCATAAAAAGAACAGGATATTTTGGCAGGACAGGCATAACCCTGCAAAACATGATACATTATAACAGACTGTTTCATATGAACTGGGAGGAAAATGTGAGAAGATTAATTTTTAATGTTTGTGCTTAAAAATGTCTGTGATGGTGGTCCATAGATAGAAGAGCTTGTTGTTTAAAATCAAAGCTACTTGTTAAGTCTGCTAAACCAATATGTATGCAAGATCCAAGAGCCAGATGCACTTGTAGCTAGATGTCTAATTCCCAATGATATCAAGAACAGGAATAGTCACTTATGAGCGGAGACCCTGGCACCCAACACAAACATCACCTTTTACACAAATGTACACCAACTCAGGGATTTTTTCACGACATTAAATTTCCTTTCAAGTGTAACTTTTGACTATGGGAAGGAGTACCAAAGCAAGCAGAACAACATTTCTCTCCAGTAAGGGGTTTTATACATTTTGACTTAAGGTAACTTATGGTGAATGATTTTAGAATTTTTAATCTGTGTCATTTGTTCAGAAAAAAAAACCAATCCCATTTTACAAACTCTAGCCATATTAATAAAATAAACCACTTTTGGAAGTTGTTTATAGCATATGAACTAGCCATCCAAAAAACTAATACTTGACTGTTTTCTAAATATAACATGGTTCCTGCAGACTGTAATCACACTACATCCTGATGCTTGTTTTAAAAAGCATTTTTTTTAAGGCTCTGGGCATGGCAGAGACTCACACACATTTGCTCAGCAGAACTGAATGTTACCTTTAAGCTTATTTTAGCCAAATTAATATAATTGCTGGGATAATTTAGATTCTTTTTCTCTATGCTCCATGTCTACTCAAAAGAGAAAGAGCAACTTCACATTCAGATATACATTGCCCTAAATTTTCTGCTTTTTGTCCTCAATAAACCTCCATTTTTGGGGGGTTTGTTTGATTGTTTTGGGTTTGGGGTTTGTTTGTTTGGTTTTCGGTTTGGGAAGGTTTTTGTTTTGCTTTTTTTGTTAAGTAAGTCTCATATTCAAAGCACTAGATTCGTATTTAAGCATAAGTTCCATTCACCTCAGTGGGTCTAGATGGGATTTTTGCCTCAGGTAAGACTAGAAGATGCAGACCTGACATTCATGTGTTTTGACAAGAACATGTTCACACATTTTGAGTTCTTCAGTGCTGACAGTATTGATCTGTTTTTCCCCCTACATACAATCAACTCAGTGCATTGAATATTTAATAATACAGGTGATAGAAGGACCCATTGTCTGACTCATATAAATAACACAATAATTGAAGACAAATCTTCCTTTTCTACAGGGTATGCAAGGCTAAATGAATTTTAAAAATCCCATACACATCAGTGGTAATGTAAAAGAAGCTAGAATAAAATGGACATTTGGAAAAAAAGAATCAATTTTTCAATTTTAAAATATTTTGCTGCCACCTTATGGAATTGAATAAATGTGCATCTCAGTGGTTTGTAAAAGGGACACAATTTAGCCTTCAACAGCAAACACTAACATCATTACAGAGAAAGAATATATTCATTTCTTTATTATTCCTTTTTAAATTTTTAAAAAATATATCTGGTTTCACCTTTCACAGAGAGATGGAATAGCACAGATTGAATTTTAAGGCTTTCACATGTGAATAAAATAGAAGAAAAAAACATGCATCAAGCATAATTCTCAACAAATGCCAAATGCCATGAATAATCAGCAAATCAAGCATTATTTGGTCATAAACAAATATAGGTAAACAAAGCAAGGAGCTGCTCACAGATGATACCTAAATATCAATTAATCACTGATGAGTAATTGTTAGTTCAAATAGAGGGTTACTTGTTAGAACTCGGGGCCTTTTTCCCCCAGGTGTGTTGTGGCCTTTGCATAACTGCATTGCTTTTAAAATATAACTCTACATAAATAATCAAGGGGAAAACAAGTCCTAAGGCTCTAGGCTCTGTCCTACATATTCTCTCCCTGTTTCTGTCAGAGAGATTTTCTTCTGTACAACTTACGAAAATGCGATGCATTTTGGGGAAGATATTAATACATGCAAATATACCACCAGTAGAGAGAACATGTCAGAAGTTCTTTATTGTCACTAAGACAACTGGAGCACTAGTCTTATTTTAGAAAAGGAGTGATCAGAAGCATTTAACCTGGAGAAAGAATAGAAATGTCCATATCTGTAAACGATCATGAAGTCGACAGCTTTCCTTCGATGCAAGAGATCCGTATTCCCAGAGAACCCTGGGATTCAGGTGCCTCCATCATGGCTCGTGCAGGGGACAGGTGACCTCCAGGACAGCCAGCTTTGCAGGGACGTGTGCTGCTTGGCAGTGTGTCTGGTCACCTGGGGGCTGGGGCTCGCCAGGTGTATTGCACAACCACCCTTTGGGGAAATAAAAGTCGGAGTATTAGGAGGTGCAAGCACCAGGTGATTTACGCCAATGTATCTCATTTAAATTAAGACACAGGTGCTATGAGATCTTTATTCCAGAAAGCACTGAAAGGAGTATGTTTCTTGTGGACAGCGCTCAAATCACAGGCGGGAAGTTTTTGCACAGTGACCTGACTGACTGCAAGAGCGGGGCTGATGAATCTGTGTCAGGTCTGTTCCGAGCGGCATGCACGTATGGATGTGCACCTTGTGGGAAAAGGGCCATATGCAGGACATGGGCACCGACAATAAACCCTGTCAGCTTCTGCAGGGCGCGGGTGCAGCGTGGCTGTGGCCCGCTTAAGGAAGTGGCGCTGCGGCCACACGCGGCTGTGGCCGATTAATTAAGGGACTCGCCGGCGCGGCCGTTGCCGGGCGACGGGCGGGACGGCGGCGGGGCCGGGCCTGGGGCTCTCTCCGGGGCTCTCGGAGGGCAGGACGGCGGCCTCGGGCACTGCGAGGCGGCAGCGAGACGCCGCCGCCATGTCGGGGGGAGGCGCAGCCGACCGGGTGGTGCAGGTGAGCGGCGGCGGGGGGTACGGGCTGCAGGGAGCGGGGCCTGCGAACGGGTTTCTCTCACTGGTAATACACTAATTCGCTGTTAAAGCCAGCACACCCACAAAAATGCGCTCTGCTGTCAAAATGAAAGCGGGGAAGCAGGCTTCCCTCTGTGTGGATGCCAGGAGCGGCTCCCCGTGCCCAGGCTGGGAAGCGGCGGCTCCGAGGCGGGAGCAGCCCGGCTGCCCCGCTCCAGACAGCGCTGGCCACCAGCAGGTGCCTCGGGAAGCGCCTCAGACCCGCGTCAAAACACCTGCTCCCCAGCTTTCGGGGGTTTGGGCTCAGGGTCATGAGTCTGGAGATGATGCTGCATTTCTTGATGTATTTTTCATCTATAAGTAAGGCCAGTGGCTTTAAGAACCCACTTAAACGTGATGTGTTCAGGATGTCCTGCAGCAGAGTCCTAAAATATGCGAAGTTCTTCCATTGTTTTGAACGTGTCACCTGCTTCAGGCTCTTGCTTTGCGACAGTCAGTGAAGAGGTGGTCCGTGCTCACCTGCTCTCACAGACTCTTCTTTTGTGCTCTTGCTGATCAAAACATACAAAAGGGGGCGAAAGTGTCACATGATGGTAGTCATAATTGCCAAAAATAGGACAGGGATTTGCAAGTTATGTTTCTTATGAAGAAGAAATATAAATTAATACGTGAAGATTTGTGGTTGGTTTTTTTAACACAGAAATATTGAGGGAATGGTGATAGAATGGAAGCACTGTCCTTCACAATAATTATCAGTTAAACAGGCTTAACACTTTTGCTTAGTTTTACTTATGTACGTGTGGGAGGGGGGAATTAGTGATGAACTTTTTCAATTAAATCTTCCCTTCTGTGCAAAATTTATTTGTGAAACCATTTCAGAATGAGCTGCAGGAAGCAATTTCTGCTCATGCATCAAGTGAGCAAACAGATGAATACTCGGATGACTTTGAGAGTGATGAAGATGGCATGTTAAATGGTAAAACAGAATTAAATATTTTTCCTTGTGTTCTTCCTCTTCTTAACTCATTGCTATAGCCCAGCAAATCTTTGTGAGTCAATATGATTTAATGTTCCAATATCTCATATTTTAACAACTTCTAAATCACTGAGTCCTCCTCTTCTAAGTTAGGAGCAGAATTCCCAATTAAATCAGTGGTGGTGCCAACCTGCTAGACCAGACACTGTCTGTACCGGTTTCTACCATTGTGATGCCCAGTTTTCCTCCATAGCCATCTTGTTTACTTGACACCTGTAGTAGTGCACATACTGTGAATGAAAGTGAACATGGGCAGAGAGAAAGCCCTGTTTTTTACCTCCTGTTTTCCCAGTCTGGACAATCAGTGAATAATGGCTTCAGGAAACACTGCAGAGCATACTTCCCTGGCAGTGTACACAAACCATGAATAGTTTTGATCTGGCTATTTTTCTTGGGCCAGGATGCATTTGATGTTTGCTAATTGTATTGAGTTTGCACAGCCAGGTTTTTGTCACAGAGGGGCTACAGGGGTGGCTTCTGTGAGAAGCTGCCAGAAGCTTCCTCCATTTCCAGCAGAGCAAATGCCAGGCTGCTCCAAGACAGACCGGCCACTGGCCAAGGCTGGACTGGTCAGAAATGGTGGTAATGCCTCTGTGATAACATGTTTAAGAAGGAAAGAAAAGTTATTGTGCAGATGTAATTGTGGCCAGAGAAGAATGAGAATATGTGAGAGGAACAACTATGCAGACACCAAGGTCGGTGGAGAGGGAGGTGGAGGAAGTGCTTCAGATGCCAGAGGTGAGATTCCCCTGCAGCCCGTGGTGAAGACCATGGTGAGAACAGGCTGTGCCCCTGCAGCCCATGGAGGACCGTGGGGATGCAGAGATCCTGCAGCCCATGGAGGAGACCCACACCAGAGCAGGTGGATGCCTGAGAGAGGGCTGTGAACCCATGGGAATCTTGTGCTGGAGCAGGGTCCTGGCAGGGACCTGCAGATCCATGGAGGAAGGAAACCACACTGGAGCAGGTTTGCTGGTAGGACTTATGACCCTGTGTGGGACCCATATTGGAGCAGGCTGTGCCTGATGGACTGCACCCCATGGAAAAGTGACTCACATTGCAGCAGTTGGTGGAAAGCTGTTGCCTATGGGATGGAGTCACGCTGGAGGAGTTCGTGGAGAACTGTCTCCCATGGGAGGGACCCCATGCTGGAGCAGGGGAAGGACTCCTCTCCCTGACCAGCAGCAGGAACAACGTGTGATGAACTGACCGTAACACCTACTCCCCATTTCCCTGTGTCTTTGTGGGGGGAGGAGGTAGAACTCAGGAAGGAGGGACGTGTGGGGGAAAGGTGTTTTTAAGATTCGTTTTACTTTTCATTATCCTGCTCTGATTTTATTAGTAAAAAATCCAATTAATATCCTCAAACTGAGTCTGTTTTGCCTGTGATGTTATTTGATGAGTGATCTCTCCCTGTCCTTAACTCATGAACCTTTGTTATATTTGCTCTCCCCTGTCCAGCTGAGAAGGGATGTGATAGAGAGGCTTTGGTAGGTGCCTGGCATCCAGCCAGGGTGAACCTGCTACTACTTTATGTTTAGTCTAACAAGGTCGGCCAAATGACTCTTTTTCTTCCTGGTATGGCACTGCATGGTAAGGAAAATAGGAATTTTAAAAGGACTTCCTCTGTGTCCTGTTTTTCATTCACACCTAAAACATCTTTTAACAGTTTATGGGATGCTTTGACTTCCCTTTAGAAAAAAGCTCCCCCAGCAGTAATAAGTTACTATCATGCCATTCTTTTGTTACCTCCTTCAAGCATTTGAAGTCTGAAATTAAGCCAGTTAGCCATAACAGATTACAGGAAGATCAAAATATTTTTGTTAAACATGTGAACCTTAGCATTGGAGCAGATACTTCTTTGAGTATCTTCTAGTAGATTTTAGATGGGACAGAAGCAAAGGGAAGGGGAGGATGGATTCTGATACCAAATATGCCTAGCTTTGTTGTTGACTTGCTTTCACTTCTTGTGGCATTGAGACATTGTTTTTTAGAAGGGTTTTGAATTGCGTGGCAGAAAAGAATTAATGAGTGAATATTTTTCTTTGGATTGGGTCCATGGAAACAGATGACAGGAAAGGAAGTAAAATAAGGCTGTAGTCTGGTGGCTTTGCAGAGATAAGAGGCACAGAAAGAGAAATGCTCGGAAACTAAAGTTAGGAGGATGTTATATGAAAAATAGTTTTAAGTTATAGAAGATATCGCTTCTGAGTTGCATTTTTTTTCCCACTTGTCTTGAATGCAAGTTGATAATATGTCCTTTTCAGGTAATGATGAAGAACTTACTGAAGGTAATTCAGGTGCTGCAAGCACTGGTAAATCTGTTGTTGGGAGTCTTCTCTTGAATGATGATGCTTCACAAAAACTAGCAGATTTGGAAAATGAAGCTGCTGATGACTTGACTTTATCCTTTCATGGAAAGAAACTTAAGAAAATAATGGTTTTAGAAAGTGATAATGTACCAGATGACAGAAAAGATGGTAAAGAAGAATGTTTGGAAGGTCAAAATGAGGGTAATGACAGAAAACATAATGAAGTGCTTTCATCTGCTGAAGAAGTACTGTGTGATAATAGTGAAAGTGATGACTTGCCTATTCATGAACTACATAAAAAAAGAAGTCAAGAGGAAAAGCAACCAACAGCAAAGCCACGGCTGCACAAACAAAGAAATGCTTCAGTATCAGGTGAAAAGAAAGTTTTGAATGTTGTTGCTGCTACTTGCTTAGCCATGTTACAGTATTTTAAAGTGTTTTAGTTTGGGTTATTTTCTGAGTTAATGATCAGCTGCTTTGGCTTGCAGCCAAAGCTTCTAAAAATACATAACCTCCATCTGCCAAGGGGCAAACTGAAAAACTGTGGGCCAAATAGCAGGAGGTTCCTTTCAGAAGATGAAAAACAGCTGTTTAGGTCCTTGAAGTTCAGCTCTTCACCAGTGCATGTCCATGAAAGGTGTGGGAGGGCTACCGAGTTGTCTCTGCAGTATGTGCTTAGCTCAGAAAGCCATATTCACATGGTGTCCACAGCCTCCGTGTATCCTTCTATGGGAAGGTCATCAAATAGCCACCTCTTTTCTATGACCTGGAAAGTTTGACCACACTGTTTGCAAATACTATGTTGAGGTAGTTATACTGAAGCATCATGAAGCTGTAATGTGACAGAATGTCAGAATAGTAGATTCTCATAATTGCAAAGTTAAAACATCAGATGATCTTTTACTTTAAAGACACTGATGCACTTTGGATGTATAGTCAAACACATAAAACCCTCAACGTTTAATATTTCATTATAAGACTAGGTAATGCATTTTTAATCTGCAAAGCAGAACTTGGAATTCTGCTAATTAACTTTTACAAATATAAAATGTCAAAAGACTTCATATTCATATCCAATTCCATTCGTATTCTTATCTAATTCCATTCTAATCTTCAGATTCATATCTAATTCCTAGTATGAGAGGAATTTGTCCTGTTTGATGTTGAGATAAAATTATGGGTGGTCATTAGCCATGATGGAAGATTCCAACTTTGAAATTGCTAGAGTATGATTAATGATATCAGCTCGTTTTTGTCTTTCCACATGATGGCACCAAAGTGCTGGGTATTTGAATGTGCAATTGGGCAGTGCAACACCTCTCTGTCCTGGCTGTTGAGCTTGTGTGGTTTTACACTGGCAGAAAAGAAGTTGAATTACTCCTTGTCTTCAAGTGAATCAAAGTAGTGCAGTGATAATGGCATATTGGTTTTCAATTCAGAATTCTCCTTGTCACCTTGAACTTACCTTCACCATTGTAAATCTAGGTTAAATTTCTTAGATTGTGAGCATTGATATTCCTTTCTTCAGGTAATTTGGAGTTAATTTCTCATTCAAAAATTCTGTTTCTTTTAAGAATTCCATCAGAAAATTGTGGAAGACTAATTTGGTTTCACCAGAGCCTTTTTTGGTTTGTGTCTCAATTGTTTTACAAATTTATATCTCTGCATTAATGGTGATGTTTTCTTTAAATCCCCACTGCAGAATCTTTCTGTTATTTCCTCATGTGTCCCACACCCCTGAAAAACATCATACAATGAAAGTTTTGGTTACCCAAAGTGTTGTGCAAACTTCATTAGTAGTTTACTAGATGTCAGAAGATCTCTTACTGTGATTGCAATGACTCTTGCTTTTGGTTTCTGCAGTAGAACCGCATTTTGGTGGTAAGGCAGATGGGAAGTTTTGCCTTTGTCATGCTCTCACATTCTCTAACATTAGTTAAAGCTTCAGTTTCTACTCCAATCTTACATTTAAATACAAGTGAATACTCTTCTTATTAGTATGTAGTTCTTAGAAGGAAGTATGCAGAAAATATGGTATAAAATTAAGTAAAAACTTTCATGGACAGATGTTTTTTGTACAGAAATAAAAATACTCAGAAACAATGAAATTCTTGTTAATGTGTCCTCTCAATCTTTTTTCCTCCTGTTAGATCAAGATCAGAAGACTGTCAACACCAATGACTTGAAACTGGAGGACAATGGTAGAAAATCTCCTTCTGTGATAGAACAAATGATGACCACAGTGTATGAGAAGACAAGGGAATTGGAGAACCCAACAGCTGACAGTTCAGGTGGAACAGTGAAAATAGCGGAAGGGCAAATAATAACTGATACAATGCAGGAGGTATCAGTGAATGGTCAGTCTGAACATAGGGAGGCAAAGAATGCACCAAAGAGCTCTGTCAAGGTATTACTCATAAGCGTTTTGCCATTCTGTGGAACAATGTCCTAAAAGCATGGTGGAAAGTTTTGTAAGGTTACTGTTGGTAACTTAAATGTGAAAATGCTATCTGTAGAGCTGACAATTTATCTCTGAGCTGAGATTTATCTAGAGCTGAGGCTCTTACAAATTTTATATAGTTGTATAGAAGATGTAGAGAATACCTTTTACAAAAATGATTTAAACCAGATAAAGGTACTGACATGTGTTTTCCAGTCTTAAGAAAGTACCCTTGTCCAAGTGAAAATAACAAATCTCTGTTGTGAGCCTAACTGAATTGCAGTGAGCAGTGCATGTTGGCAGAGGATGGAATCCCTGGTGTGATAAGTTGCAAAGCACTCTATGCTTTATCATAAGAAAGAAAATATGTAGATACGTATAATTATTAAAGCTAAGTATTCAAAGAGCTAAAAGAGTGTTGATAGAATAACAGGGAAACCCACTACCCAGCTGGGTTCTTTTTATTTCTTTGTATTTCTAACCTATAGACTATATTTTTATGTAATACAAATAAACATTTCTAGGTGCTATTTGAAAATTACACGGCATTCTGAAAGTTTGGTTGCTTGGTTTGGATTTGTTTGGTTGGTTGTTTTTTCTCCTTACTTTCTTACCCTGTACTGTACCCCCTGTGTATTAAAGTGGCTTTCTTGCCTATTTTTCTAAAATTGTAGAACTATAGAATATCTCAAGTTGGAAGGGATTTGTAAGGGTCAAGCCCAACTCTTAACATCCCTGTTAGCTTGTAAAAATCTGTTTCATCCTGATCTAGTTCTGTTGCTTGAGAGACTCCATAACTTCTACTTTTCCTCTGTTTCTTAGAAGCCAAGTGAAACAAAGGAGAGAGTTCTACAAAACTCAAAGGCTTCTTTATCTGACAGGTAAAAGAATCACTCTTAGGTATCACATTCTGCACAGTGTAAGATGCATGTAAGGGCCCCAACAATGCTGCTTCATTCTTATTTTCTGCTGACAACCTCTGACCATCTGTGAAAAACCTTTTAGTGGTTGAGGCATGTTATTATGACCCTTACTCGGGTTTATGTCCCATCAGACTCCCAAATCTTTTGCCATTGTCCGTGATGTGTGTGCTACTGGAGTCTTTATAGGTTTTAAGCTGCTTTTTAGGTGAAAGTGTAAGGAATTTGTAAACTTTCTTGGCCTGGATATGTTGCATAATGGTTTGTTCTGGCAATAATAAAGCCCTCAGAAAAAAAAGAGGTTCTTCCTTTTCTTTTCCCCAGTCCCCAGTCAAGTGCATATAAAAAACCAATCACAGTAACTTTTGGTATGTACTGAAATAAAGGGAACACTGCTGGGTATCAGCCACAATAAATGGAAAGATCATTAATGTGTTTGTGTCCTGGTATTTCATAGGTCTCCATCTTCTGTGCACCTAAAGACAAAGGTGAAGGCTGTTCCATCAGCTACACCTGTTTTATCTCAATGTCTGGGACCATTAAACCTGTTGGAGAATAAATGCATGCAGAAGAAAAGAATAGAATTTGACAAAGCAGATAATTTAAGAGCAGCTGTTTTTCAGGTAAATCTTAAAAATGAGCAAACAAACCAAGAAACAAAATTGTGCGTAGAAAGGTCCTAATCTAGGGGTCAACACCTCATATTTCTTGAAATCAGTATTTCTTACTATATTCCTTGCATAGGCTTACAGGTGTAATAATCCTTTTATTCTGTTGACTATCGCTTTTCCTCAAATTATGAACTCAAAAGCTATATGGAAGGGATGTACTGTGATTCATAATTTATTGTGTCAGACTATTTTCAGGCACATATTTTCCTTTATTTCTACTTCATCTTTAACATGAGTGTGTAGTTTAAAGTTGCTCTTTTTATCCTGGTATGTTCTATTCATCTGGCATTCAGGAAAAGTGATAACAAATAGTACTCTCTCCAGAAGAAAAATCTATGTAAATTCCATGTAGAATTTCACAACGATTAGTTTATGGGTTCCAACAGACTTTTGCTACTAATCTGTTTGAGAACAACTTTAATTCCAGAAGCTGCTCATATTGGTATGTGTTTTTAATACTTGTTATGGTCCTAGAACAAATTTTAGACCCTCAAATTAAAATTTATATTGTCTCCATAATTTTAAAGGTAAAATAGTCTTCATTTAGGACACTTATATCTCTAAGCTGTATACCAAATAATATAGTTAAATCTTGAAAATTCGAGTCTGTTTCTGCAGATGGCTCATAACCTTCTATGGTTACCTGAAGTCTCACTCTTCCCAGTAGGGTTTTATTCTCTTTAATTATAGGAATTTGCAAGACAGACAACAAATATAAATAATATCCCTATATACCAAGTAATAAGAATCTTTATTTTATTCTTCTTTTTAAATTTGTTTAAAGCTTACTTTTTTTGGTGTTTCTATGAAGATTTTTTTTAAGATATTTAAGCTTTTTTACATTTTGTAGCTCTAATTTTAGAACCTTAGGCTTTTTTTTGATCACAATGTGTATGTGATAACAGCTTAGTCTTCCACATGGGGTAGTATTTAAGTAGCACATGAAAGAATTAAGAGTAATTTTGGTGGTTGTTGTATTGGTGCTGCTCTGTACTTACACCTTAAAAGGACTTTAAAAGTCTTTAATGATTCTTACAGAATTGGTTGGAAAAGAAAAAGCTCTTTCTAATGGAATTAAAGAGAATTGAAAAGGAGAAAGCTGAAAATCTCAGAAACGATACTGAAAAGGTTTGTTTACATTCTTGTTAAAAAGAAGTTAACAGACTATAATTCTTTGAAGTGTGCTTGCCTGTGCTTTCTGCCTGAGTGCATCAGTCTGCTGTTGTAAGGCATCTGGTCTTCTCCAAAGAGCACGAGGTGATTTGGAACACTAAATGGCATGTCCTGCTTGTTATGGTTGTGACAAACAGTGTGCGTCTGATGCTTCCTTACATATTTACATAAGGTGTGTTAAAAGTGTGCTTCTTAGATTAATTTTCAGGTTTGTTTACAAAGACCTTGGAATGCTCAAATCTTAAGGTGCTAAGTTTTATGTTGTCTATCAGAACATAAGGGGTTTACTCCCTCCCTCACGAGATGCTTATCTCCAAAGGACTGTATTTTGAATAGTACCATACGCATTCTTTGATTTGACTTTTAAGTATTTAATACGTTTCACTGCCAGGCACTTAACATGTATTTCATATCCTTATACACATATTTTGCTGGAGTAGTTTGTTTCAGTTAACTTAAATTAAAAATGAACATAGAAAAAACCCCGCCATATGTATTTAAAATGTAATTGTGAGTAATACTTGAAATGTTGTTGTCAAATCAATTTCTGTTTCTTTATTGCTCCATTAACAATTAGTTTAAAGCGTACTATCTCAATTATAATTTTATATTGAAGTGTATTTAAATGTAGACTTTTATTTGCAATCTAGAAAGAAGCACTTAGAAGAGAGGAATCAATTGCATGTTTTGAAGCCTGGAAAGAAAAGAAAGCAAGAGAAGCAAAGAAGTTAAGTGAAAAAAAGAAGCTTGAGGAAAAAACCCCAGCAGAACAGGATAAAGAGAAAACAGAAGCAGCACAGGTGGTGATGTGAAATATGTACAAAAACGTATATCAAATGTGGTTCAGGAGATTATAGAAAATAATTCTGATTAATCCAGAAAGAGATGGAAATTAACTAGAATCTGAATCTAGACATGCTTAATTTTTGAAGTGAGTTCATATTAGGCTCTGTTCTGCCCGAAATACGTAATGTTTACATTTGCAGACAAACATGCTTCTATAAATGGAGTCTATTAACTGAATATAAAATAAACGCCATATAAATACATTTAACTAATACTTGCTGTCAAAATAACTTATTCCTGTTAGGCATAGTGATACCCACTTCTAAGAAATGCTACAAACAAATATTCCAAAGTTGGAATGTGTAGAAATTACAAAAAAAAAAAAAATACAAAATAGGCAAGGGGAGTATTGACAAAAAGGTGAGGGGTAAGATGTCTCATGAATCTATGGGTTTCTTTAGGCATTCAAAAGATGGAAAGAAAAAAAAGTGGAATATTTAAGAGAGCAAAGCAGAAAGGAAAAAGAGTCTGAAAGAATCAGGAAGGAGAAAGAAGAGGAACTAATTGCAGAGAAGAGGAGAGTCAGCATATCAGCAGTTGAAAAATGGTACTACTCCACTGTGTTTTGCTGTATCGTAGTTTCCAAAATCTTCACTTATAAATGTAATAGGTCTTCTGTGAGTGCTTGATGTGCGTGTAATTGTAAAACAATGGCATGCTTGGGATCAGACTCTTCAGTCCCAGTGGAGAATGAGTATAACAGTGAAAGCAAGCTGTACAGCTCCTTTCAGTTTAGTAATTTAATTGCTTTCCTCCCCAAAAGGCTACTAACTAAGCCCAGTCAGAGATACTGCAACGGAGACGTAAGATTCACTGAGTCTTATGTGGTTAGTTTCATGCTTCATTACTAAGCCACAGGAAGGTAAGTAAATCTTTAAGTTTTGTGGAATACAATGTATGAGTGCAGATGTACACAGGAAGGAAAGAAATGAGATGTTTCTGCTGGAGAAATTCTGTGTTAGTTTTATAAGCCAAGAGTTTTCACACACTGCGTGCAACTTACAGTTACCTACAGAAGTTCAGAATCTAAGGGTTATTTTGTGATACTGAATAAGGGAAAAGCAGTAAAGAAAAGGTGATGCCATAACAGATAGAGTAGTAGGTTCATTTATACCTTGGTGATGTATCAAAATGGACTGGGAAGATTTTAAATATATATTCTCAAACTTTTCTTAAAAGTACAAAATATCTCTTTTGACTCAGTTTAGTTAATCAGTCACAGGTGCAGCATTTAGTCTGTTACATGATGATCTCTTGTTCTTCCCTCTTATTATACAGGAATGAAAAGAAGGAAGAATATATAAAAAAGAAGAAAGTAGAAAAATTCCTAGAGAGGAAAAGGCAAGAAATGCAACAGGCAAAGAAGGAAGAAAAAAATGAAAAGGCTATGGAGGAATATGAAAGATGGCTGGTATGTTTTTTTGGGGATTTTTTTTTGCACTTTGTCAAAACCAAAAAGTTTAATATAGTAACGAGTGTGAACAGTTGTGTATTGTGATACTCATGGATTTTCGTGCTGTTATTAGAAAGGCCAGACGGTGGCAACATTGCATTGCTTGTCCTCCAGAATTTGTGAGCAAAATGATGGTAAAGTACGGGTGACTTGATATTTGGCAGACATGGAAAATATATTCTCCCTACGTACGTTACAGAGTTTTCAATTTCATAGTTACTCTTCATTTTTTGCCATTTCATGTCAGAGGCAACCATCTCTGAAGGGCCAACTCACCACAGCACAAAACCTGCAAAGCCAAACAGCATCCCCAGCTGCGAGTGCACGTACATTCAAGGAAACATTGAAAGTGGAGACTTGTATACCTACAGCTGGTAAAAGCACTTGTAATGATGTTCAAGATTATTATTACAAGAAAGGGTGGAACTCTGAAGCTCCCAATTATATTTTTCCCACAACAGTGTCTTTTAGTCCCAGTAGTTAAGCAGTAAACTAATCTATTACTCTAGTCCCAACAGTTAGGCAGGGTTTTTTCCCTTGCTACAGAAAGACAAACTAGAAAAGAGATCACTAATATTCTTAGCATGTATTGTTTTCTTGAAGGTATGTGACTTGCTAGTTAAAGAAGAACCTGTGTTTTAATTCCTCACCCTGTGACACAGTCATTCCTGACTCTCAGGATTTTCTTAGTTTGAGAGTATTTCTTCTGTTGTCTCTTTTCCATGTGATTTCTGGCACACATCCTGTACATATGGTCTCTATTGTCATTTGTAAGAGTGAGATCTTGCAACTCATCTGGCTTAAGGTCCTTACAGGAATTTCTTTGTACTGTCAATGGCCCAAAAAAATCTTTTCTTTTTTTTTTTTTGAGGAATGAGGAGGCAGAGAAATGAGAACTGAGGCAGGCAGATGTATACGGATGTCAGACAGCTTTGAAAAGGACAATCATCCTTTACTTGGCTAACTCAGAAATACACAGTTGCATAAAACAGCAAGAGCCTGCATGTTTTCTCTTCTCTGTTTTCAAACTTTTTTAGTCTGAGGTTTAGGTCTTTTAAGGTCTTTGACCTGGTCCCTGTTGGAATACCTCTGATTTCTGTAATCATTGGTAAGAATTATTTTCTCTAGTCCTCTTTGTCAAGTGATTTCTAGCTCAGTTTAGTCAAATTATTAATGTCCAATCTTAGATTATTTCTTGTGTAGTCAATATTCCTGGTTACCAAGGAAGGAAGTGCTGCATTTTAAGCAGTAACTAATGCACTGTCCTCTATGCTCTGCTTACTGGGACTATCCTAATCAGTGTAATTGTATCAAAGCCTGAATGTTACTGTGCTGTCTTGGACTCTGTACAAAGGTAAAAAAATTATCCTTTTTTTTGGGGAATGAAAGATGTTGCCTAGCACAGGCTCCCCTGTTCAAATTGTGTATAAATTCCTGAGGTCACCACTTCAATGGGATTATTAATATGAACGTTAGTAGTTGGAGGAATGACCAGATCTAACTGGAGGTACAAGTGCCTACATGAGAGGAGCACTCTGAAAAAGAAGCAGGTGCAGGAGAATGGGATAGATACTGAACTGGTTGGCGGAGGTACCTCTAAAATGATCTCATTTTCAGTGTCTGTGTGCAGGTGTTGACTGATGTGTCTCACGCCCAATCTTTACATTTTTACTTTCAGAATTTGCACTGGCTTTTTTCAGCTTAGACACCTTTATTTCAGAAAGCATATTGGGCAATAGCTCTGTCATCATGTTTGGCCAGAATATTGTCTCACTTTGTACAGTTATAGAAAAAAATACCTTTAGTGAACTGCAGAAAGGAAACACTGTAAAGTTGTCATTGGGAATTAAAGTTCTCAAGGGAACTGAGATGATATCTGCCTGCAATTAGATCTGAAGGCAGAATTATGGAGGCCTTTTTAGTGTATTCTTTCAACTAAGGAGGTTTTGTTTTGAAGGGAAATAAAATAGGAGTAGTATAGTGGGAAGTATTCTAATATGTTTTCATTAATATTCAACAGAAATAAATGTGTTTAAATTCATCCTTGGGTTTCCTGAACCAAGTATTGACCATAATGCATGGGTAAAAAAGACATAAAAATCTGCTTGTAGTTTCTTAAATAGAAGAAACGTTCTGCTTTTATATTAATGGAAATTCTGTTACTTCTGCTTTTAGAGATCATTGTGTGAATGTTTGATAACATAAATTGCATAGAGAAGATTACTTTTTAAGCCTGAAAATAAATGCCCTAAAAAAAGTTATTAACACTTGTACAATACTAACATAAAAAGGATAATCTTGAGCTGAAATGCTTTAGTATTGCCTGGGAAATTTAAGCTTCTGATTATTTTGTTTCTTTCCTACCATTTGCCTCTTGCTACTCACCAAGAACTCTTTGAGCCAATCTAGCCTGATAAATGATAAGTTTTTACTTAATGCATAATACCAGTGTCTGACACTTGTTACTGACATGCACCTGTTCTGAGGAGTGAAATGTGGAGAAGAATCACATTGAAAGTTTATAATGACAGATCAGTTTAGTTTTCACTTATTTCTGAGATATCAATTTGATACCTGTTTACTGTGGATAAAAGTGAGTAGCCTGGATATGTTATGTTGTCCATTTTCTGTGCTATATAACATAGTATGAGTTGATGAGAAGTAAGGCTGCTCACAAATAATTCTCAAAGATCAACATAGTAAGGTTAAATGCCCTAGAGGAAGTTTGAAATTTTACCTCGAGGTTGAGCATATACAATATCTATTTTTAGCATTCTAAAGCTGTTTAAAAACATTAAGAAAGGATGAACTGGATGAGTCTCATGGATTTGTTGCTTTTCTGGGTTAGTAACAGCTGATGTGGGTTATTCATTTCATGTGATTTAATAAGATCTCTCTGAAAATACTTTCTATATTGGAATTTTTATGTCCTGGTACTGCAGTATGTTAGAAATAAGGCTGCTATTGTTATTGCTCTGAAATGTTGTACGTCTTCTCTAATATCTAAAATTCAATTATTATGTGGCAGTCATACTGCTAAAGAATGTGCTCTTCCCAGAATTTGGTAGGTAAAAAATGTATTCATCTTACTAGACTATTGAGTAGAAAACTTCCACAGAAATCAAGCCATGCAGTTGAGTTGATCTACTGTATGATGAGCTACAGTTATTGATTTAGTCTTTCACTATTTCTGTTACTGTTCTTCTGTTAGTGCAAATAACATCTTGTTTATTATTTTATGGAAGATTTATATCAGTTATATCTTGTGAGAATGTGCACTGTGATTAGGACTAGAACATAAAAAGCTTTGTGTGTGTTGAAGACAGAAGAAGCCAGTAAGTCATGATGTCAAATTTAATCTTTTAAAAAACAGTTAAATTAGCTCGAGATTCTTTTCTCGGCACTGGGATTCATTAATGAAAACTGGATCTTCAAACCCAAACATTCAACACTGAGACACTATTAAAAAATCCAAAGCAACTTTTGTTCTCTTCCTGGGTGGATGTTTGCTTTATTTTTCATTTGGGCTTTTCATACAGGAGTCTATTGTGCACATGTGTTCAGTAAAGAGTGTTTGACAAACATTAAATACGCACTGTTTTTGTAACGTGATTGCTCAAATAATTGCCAATACTGCTGCAATAGTATTTTTAATGAGTTTTTAATGAGTTTTCACCTACATGTCCTGATGGTACGCATAGCCTCATAGATTATAATTCTATGATTCTATGATTTTGTAAAAAGAAATTGACTGGATATTTCCAAAAATTCCAAAACAGGAGCATGTATCATATATGTGTTCCATTAGAGCATATTCTTTGCAAGCTCGTCTGTACTGCTTGACATATCTTAGTTTTTTTTTTTTAAAAATACCACTGATAATGCAGACTCCTTTCCTCTTAGTGTACTAAACAGTTTGCTTCAAGAATTTCAGAATATCTTGAACTTGTTCTAAAGACCCAAAGCCACTAGTTGTGCTCATCTGAGGAAGGAGAAAGAAGGCAAAAGTGTAGGATGACAAAAGTCAGAATCTCACAGTGCTCCAAGCCCAGTTTGTCTCCATTACTCCATGTAATCCAGAAAGATACAGTTTGTACAGAGAGATAATATTTTTTAATAGACTAACTGTGATGAACTTTTGAATCACTTATTCTAGCGAATGGCATTCCTTTTCCATGCAAACTTTGCCTTGCTTTTAATCAGCCTTACTAGTAACAACATGAAATAATTGTCTGTTTAGCTAGACCAGATGTTCCTAACTCAATTGGATCTTCAAATTTACACTGACAGAGAGCTAAAGGGCACAGATTAAAATCATAGGGTTGATATTTCAGTGCATATTATGATTTTTGAAAATTTTGTACAGATTAGTAGTTTGACTGCTGCATATGTGTAAAATAGGAATAAACTTCTACTCAAGCTCCCTTTTTTACAATAACACTTCTACGCCCATTTACCAGTCTACTCTCTCAGCCACAGTCACCTCACTGTTTCTCTTCTTACATATGAATAACAGGCAAACACTGCTAGCACCTTGAAAATTTGCAAAAGTACAGTGTTCATCAGAAGGATGGGATCATGGGTTATATGAGAGCACCAGTTATCTTACAGCTGTCTTCAAGGAGCAGTACTTTCACTGCAATGCAGTTCATACATGTGAAAATACAAAACGAATACAGCACTTTTATGGTCCTTCAAAATACTGGCTGATAGGCTGCAACAGATGAAAGGACCAAGGTTGTATTTGGCACAATGATTTTAAGTGGGCATATCCATGCTGCATGTTTACTAACTATGATGTGTATCCCAGTTGTCGGTCTGTTCATGTGTCCAAAAGCCAGCTGCTCAAGGACCTCTTAGCCACCCAGCAAGTGGGGCACAGTAAGTTATGCTGTGATCTATAATGTCAACCTACTACTTCATGTCAGTCAGAAATGTGCACCAGCACGCACCATGAATCTGCAAGTGTGATTATAAGGAAAATTTGCAGCTGTAGATAGCTCACCAGTGTACTGAATTGCTAATGCAGATGCACCCTTAGATGCTGGTCCTGACCATGGTGAAATGGCAGTTGTTTGCAAAGAAGAATGCTTATTTTATATAGAATGGCAAGTCTCCTGAAATTCATTAGTTATTTAGACACAAAAAGAATGTTGCAAATATCTTGCTTATCCTTCATCATCCTGATTGCCCATTGCTGTCTGAAACAATAGAAAATGGAATTAGAACCTTGCAGTGCTTATAATATAAGTTAGATAGATCTTTGTTTAAAATTTTGTTTAATTCCTAGTTTATTCTAGTACATGGCAAGTGTGATTTAATAAATACAAAAAGTTACAATGTTGCATCAATGTTACATGAGAACAACATACTTAGCATTGTGATTTAGGTATCCTCTTCAAGACAGTAAGTAATTAATATGAAACTAATTATATACAAGACCAATACAGTACCTGATTCACTAGTTCTTCTGTTGGGTTTTTGTTTAGTTGGTGCACAAAACCTTAATTGTAAATGACACCCAGTGTGCAGCTGCTTGTGTTACATTGTGCAATGTCTGTGACTGAGGCACTGAGCTCCAAAAGGCAAATCTCTATTGCATGTTTACTTTTCATTTTACACGAGAAAGGTATAACAATAATTGTAACATTTCTGTTAGTGGAGTTGGTTTTTGTAGGGGTTTTGTTTGGTTGGTTTTGGTTTGGGCTTTTTTTGACATATCTTTTTATTCTCAGGAAAACAAAGAGAGAAGAGAGGAGCTTGAGAAGAAGCAAAAGAAGTTGCAGTCTGTCCATGGAAATGAAATGAGTCCTCCTTGGAGGCCACCTGGCAAAGTCACATATTCAGGGAATTACTGAGAAGTTTATTGCCTTCCAGAAGAAAAGATAGTCCACAAAGTTCTGACAGTGGCTAGTCGCTATTTCATTAACAGTTGATTTTCACTGGATCCATTGTAGGTGTTACATTCTTTCTTTTTAGTTTATTTGATCTCTGCAGTTCAAATAAATCACTTGTCTCTTTTCATTGCATTAGAAAATGTACTAATTTTTCTAATTCCACATTTGTTGTAGTTTTGCCGAATTCTATGCTACTTCATACCTTTTTGGTACCCTTTTCGTGAAAGTGTATATTCAGGATGAATAAGGCTGGACTCTGGCATTTTTTTCACCCAGTAGGTAGCAGAATGGTTATTTTTAAGTTACTAGGCCACACTTTTGAGGAGTTAAGTCTTGAAGAAATGCTTGGAGGAGGCAGTGGGGTGGAGATGATGAGCAAGGAGATGTTGGCTCTCCTGTGATGGTAAAAGACAAAAGGCTAAGGAGTATGGTAGGAGGATGTCATTTTCATACACAAAGAGATAAGCTACAGAGAAAATAAACTTAGATTATGTTACATTATGAAATATAAATACAGCTCCTAAATTAAAACTGCATCTAGCAGAAGCAGGTTTTCATGGGGCCAAAAACAGTCAGCCATGTGATGGTACAGAAGAATTAAGCTGGAATCCATATAATGTAAAATGATATAGGACTAAGTAAGATTGTAGCTGTTAATTCCCTTTCAGATCTTCATATACATTCCATAGATTTCCTGCTTCCTTCACGAAAAAACAGTTTTAGAGACATGTTCACACAAAATCTTACATAAGAATTGCAAGGGCAGAACAGTGGTACTCTTGTGAGGCAAACTTAGAGACAGAAAATTTTTTTTTTGGAACTTAATTTAAAGGCTTCTGTGATTGTTTTTAAAAGATCAAGTAAATCCTCCCCAAACACATTTTCATCATTGCTAGTGAGCAGGTTCCTGTAGTAAATTAAAACATTTTAATTTTTTTTTGGCTATTTGCCTCACTATTCTGGAAGCAGTGGCAAGACTATGTGGCTTTAGAGATCTTCACATCTCTTGTTTGCCTGCTGTCTAAACTCAAGCTGTTACTTTTGTTTGTGTTTTCTTATTTGAACTTTAATAATCACTCCAGATCAGATATGCTCCTCAAATGTGTATTCTTTAAAACAAAACAAAACCAGTATCACCAACCAAGAAGTAAAAAAAAACACCCTAGTCTTTAATTTATAGATATATTTTCTCAAATGAAAATCTTACTGTTTAGACTGGCAGCCTCCTTGGGAAGTAAAAGGGGCAAATGAGAAGTAGACTTGTCGTTTTCACTAGAGTTCTGTCCTGTTCGTAAATTTTTGAGATAGTCCTTAAGTGTGCATTTCATGTAAAACTGGGGCATCTCCTCAGAAAAGAAAAGACAAATAGAAAAGACTGACAAACAGATTATTTTTTTTTAGTTTCCTGATGTTTCTTGCTTGGGTTTTTTTTACATTTTAATGAGAGCGACTGAGGATTTAGAGGCATTTGTTTTGGCCATAATGGTTTCTATTACCCAAGTGCTGTACAGGTGAAATTTATTGCTGGTATGTATGTACAAATGAAATCAGAAGGGTGTCTATTCTGTCTCAGTATTCAATAAGGTCCTGTTCATTATTTTATCTTGAATGGCTCAACTTCCAGTTGCTTTTCATGTAACTTGCTCATGGTTGCATATTGGGATTTTTGAGCAGAACTCTGCTGGTTCTGGCTCTTGCTTTTAGTTCTGTTTCTTCCTCAAAAAGACAATTGTGCTGGACCTGGCTTTTATTCTTTTGTTTGTTTCTAGCCTTCTGTCACTGGGCTGTTCTCCCATAAATGTGTGGCTGGAACAGTTTTTTCCACTGAAGAGTTTGAAGAGAAGCCAGGGACCTTAATGACACCCATCCTTTGATTATATACAGTCTGCAGGTAATGCACTCTTGATGTCTTCCAGTGAACCCTAAAGACGGTAGTGACCTTTTTGATGCTTCTGTGAGACTCAGGTTTGTGCCAAGAGACATCACTCAGATGCTGAACTTCTGAGTAGGGCAGTGTTCTTGCAGGTTTATGCTAAGCTCATCTTCTGTCATTTGGGAGGAGGAAGACGTTGGTCAAAAGGGAGAGAGGTCAGGAGAGAGGCTGGAGCTATCAGAAGCACCTCAAATCCTGTAGTCAACTCTTTCCAAGCTCCTGGAGTCTAGCTGTGTTCCAAGGCCCTTGGTGTTTTTTTTCAGGTAGACTCTCTTTATAGTAGTACCCATGCTGAGTTTCCCGCACTGCAGTGTTGAAGTGCATGGCATTACAGAAGTTCCCAGCTAAGGGATTCTGCACATTAGCTGGCATAAGCCAGATATTGCAGATAAGCAAATATGTGGCTCTCATAACCTCCAGGTCTGGCTCTGGCTATTTCCTTATGGCAGGCCAGGCATTTTTTCCAGCGGTAGTGGCATCAGATCAACAGTATTGGCCTTCAAAGGAAAAGAATCCACTGCTCACAGAAACTTTCAAGAAGCTGAAAAAACAGCCAGAGCAGTTTCAGTGGTCAACCTAAAAGATAGGTTAAAATTACAGATAGCAGCAGGAGAGGTAGTGGGATTGCAGCACAGGCAGAATGTAACAGACTGCCAACTCAAAAGTTACCCACCCAGATTTTAGGAGAAAAATATTGAATGAATTCAGGCCTTTAGACTGGAGCTGTGGTGTGCATCATTGGTCCTCTAGGCTTCTAGCTCTTGGAGCCTTGAATTCAGGTTTAGTTTGTTTAGAAACTCCAGCTATAGTATCATGGGAGGATGTAATGTGTAGCAGGCAGCAGAGTTTGCTGTCCAACAGATCTGGGAAGTCTGAGACAAGGAATCCAGTCTGTGACAAGCAAACCATCTGGATCTTTATTTTCACAGTGTCCAGCTGGAGGAAGTAAGGCAGGTCACTATGCTGACAGGCCTGTACTTGAGGGATGCAAATGAAAAGTGTGGTAGAATTAGTGGCAGAGATTAAAAAAAGTTTGTTGGGTGACTGTGCCTGAGCTGAATACTGCATTCTTACTGGCTTTAAGCCTTTAGATGACTGGGTGGAAGGTTTTTGACAGAAAATAGAAGTGAGAAGATGTTGGTGACATCTTTCAGAGGAGTGAGGAGGCACTTAACGTAAGTTCACAACTTCTGAGTTAGAAAAAGATGCTGAAGATCTGTAGACGGGGGAAAACAATTGATGTGTTTAACTTTTACGGTAAAATTTTGGGAGCTTTGTCTAATTTTACGTTGTGAAAACTTGGAAATGTTACATCATGATGCAAATGTCATAGAAAAAATAGAGCTGAGAAATATGAACATATGTACATTAATTTATAAAAATGTACAGGCATCTGTATAAATCCTGTCTATATGTTTTTGATGACAGAGGGAAAATATTTTGTATTTAATAAAGTATATTTTATTATAATAGCCTCAATGTTTTTAACAGATCCTAGGATACAAATCTTTATTTAAAGCTTTAATATGCGGAAGTGAACTAGGCAGTGTCTCTAAACACAAGCTATTCTTTCATCACTATTAATATGACAAGTACATAGGGAACTTCAGTATCCCACTGAACTCAGAGCTTCTACAGCACTACAGCTATCTCCTGCACCTCCCTGACACTCTTGCTTGCTGCCACACAATGCAAACATTCATTTAAGGGATGTAGTTTCCAAGTCATACCCAGGAAGATGATTGGTATCTCTCATTTTTTTCCCCTAATTATTTCATTCAGGCATTAAGTTGCTACATTGGTGCACTAAAGGGGCAGGCTGATGATAAAAAGTTTTCAGGTCTCTCATTCTGGGTAAGAAAAATTATATGCTGTTCTCTGTTGTATTTTTTTTTCTTTCAGATTCACAAAATATCATCTTATCTGTCCTGTATGCCATGGACTGCTATATTTTGTTTGGTTCATTATGTGTTCAACTGAGTTACTTGACTCACTAACAGGGATAAACTCTTTTGGGCTGTGAACGCTGATGACAGCCTTGGCTGCGCATCAAAACCAGGACTTGCTCTGGTTTGTCCATATCTTTCTTGTGCTGGGGAGCCCAAAGTTGAACATGATGCTCGAGATGCAGTCTCACTCCAGCTGCAGTCCCACACGTGCCAAACAGAAGGGAACAATCACTTCCATCAGCCTGCTGAATACAGTTAGTGATACAACCTACAATGCCACTGGCATTCTTTGCTGTGAGAGCCCATGGCTGCCTCTTCTCCTCTGGCACCCTGAGGTGTTTTCCTTCAAAGCTGCCTTCTGTCCATTGGGGCTTAGCCTGTACTGTTGGCCTGAGGTTATTTGGCCCTAGATGCAGGACTTAAAGCTTCCCATCAGCCCACTTCTCCCACTCCTTTGGGAACACCCTAATTGGCTCCGTGGACTTAGTTATGTCCACTTAACTGAAGTGCTCCCCTATTCTGTCTTTCTCATCAGTGCTTCAGTGCCTGAGGGCTGACCTCATCAGTAAAAAAAAAAACAAAACCAAAAAACCAAACAAAATACATCAAGCACCTCAGCTTCTTCCATGTCCTGTGTCACTAAGTCACCTGGCCCCCTGAGCAGCAGGATCACGTATTTGTTCCTGTGCCAGTGTACTTACAAAAGCCCTTCTTTTTACCCTTGGAGTCTTGTATGAGCTTTAACTCTTGGCAGGTCTTTGTCTTTAGCGAATGCTTCCATGCTCACTCAAGTAACATCTCTATTTTGCTCCATCTCTGTGGTTAATTACTGTCTGAACTCAGGCAGGAGAGCCCCATTCATGCACGCTGGCTGCCTGCCACACTTGCTCAACTACTCACATATCAGAATGGACTTTTCCTGTGCTCTGACAAGGATTGTAAAGAAGGTCAGCCAGCTCTCCTGGGTCCTTTTGCTTTCCAGGGCAGCTTCCTGTGAGATCCTGACAAACAGATCCCTGAGCAAGCCATCATCTTCTCTCCTGAAGGCCAAGGTTGTGGTTCTGTTTACCTTGCTGCTTCTTACACAATTGAAAGTTTCACTGTCTCAGGGTCATGGCAGCCAAGCAGCCATCAGCTTTCACAGCCCAGGCCAGTTCATCCCTGTAACCATCCATTAACTAAGATCAAGTCCCCAGCACCTTTTAGGGCATCAGCATTTCCACCCTCAAATTTCTACTGAAC